TATTTTTTTGTATTATGGACAATTTTTTATTTATTTATAATGTTACATAGAAAATACATACACGCCTAAATTTTCACCCGTCTTTCACCAACCCCTGTTTTAACCACGCTGATATTCTTATAAATATTACTAAATGCTAAAGTAACTCAATCTGTCTGTTTGTCTCGCTTTCACGCCAAAACTACCCGGACTTCTAATTTAATTGAAATTTGGTAGACAGATAATGTAGTTCCTGAAAGGCTACTTTTTTAATGCGAAAAGTATTGAAAGGGGAAATGAAAGGCTATATGAGGATATCGTAATTTTAAAAGTCAGATCTTGTAAGATTAAGTGAACAGGGTCGGTCTAGGTTTTTCATTATTAGAAATGTGTAACGGGGTAACACGTTATTTAGTGCGAAATTGTGTATATTACAATAAAATTTAACGAGAAAATATTATAAATGATATCCTGGGACACTCATTGCCTTACTACTATATCGTCCGTTAGTCGCGAACTTTCTGGAAACACGAGAGGCGCTATCCTATTGGTCGGTCGGCGCGGTTACCGCGCGTAGATGAGTAGATGAAGTACTTAGACGAGTCTCACGGCGCCGCAGCGTAAGTACTTACTATACATACGTAGTATACATATGGGTATTACAAATGTTTTTATTACTAGTAATATTACTCTGTTATCTAAGCAAGTAATGTGTGCTTATTTTGAACTTGATAACATTCTGAATTACTCGTATATCTTTCAATATCTTTAGCGGTATAAATCCAGGTTATGTACTACTACTAGTATTGTTAGTGAGGGATAAAGTTGATGAACAAAAATAAAACAATATTCGTATTAAAAATATATTCATCTACTATTTTTGGCATTATTTTTAAGTTTCTTCCAAATATAAGGGGTCTGACATGGGGTGTTATGTACCTACATTAAAAAATACTTTTTGAAATGTATGAAAGAAACGTATTGTATGAAATTTTTGAAATGTGTGAAATGTATGAACCTACATTAAAAGATAATTTTTTAAATGTATTGTATGAAATTTTTGAAATGTATGAAATGTAAGGACCTACATTAAAAGATAATTTTTGACATGTATGAAATGTATGAAAGAAATGTATGTACCTACATAAAAAGTTCATTTTTGAAATGTATGAGATGTATGAAAACAATGTATGTACCTACATAAAAAGTTCATTTTTGAAATGTATGAAATGTATGAAAGAAATGTATGTACCTACATTAAAAGATAATTTTTGACATGTATGAAATGTATGAAAGAAATGTATGTACCTACATTAAAAGATAATTTTTGACATGTATGAAATGTATGAAAGAAATGGTGTACCTACATTAAAATATAATTTTTGAAATGTATGAAAGTAATGTATGTACCTACATTAAAATATAATTTTTGAAATGTATGAGATGTATGAAAACAATGTATGTACCTACATAAAAAGTTCATTTTTGAAATGTATGAAATGTATGAAATAAATGTATGTACCTACATTAAAAGATATTTTTGACATGTATGAAATGTATGAAAGAAATGTATGTACCTACATTAAAAGATAATTTTTGACATGTATGAAATGTATGAAAGAAATGTTTGTACCTACATTAAAATATAATTTTTGAAATGTATGCACCGTACAATAACAATACACGTTAAACATCATACCACAGAGTCATACGCAAGTTAAAAACAAACTGCTATGATATTAATGAGAAAGGAAAATAAACTTTATGGTATTCGAGTTAGGGTCGAGTTGTCTCTTTTTTTTAAAACTATTTTAATCTTACCAGTTGCCAGTATTCGAAGACAGCTACGATTCGTACTCGATATTTTAAATTATTATGTAATCGATTTTTCAGTACAAATGTAAATAACCAACGACACTAATAATGTACTACTATATTCCGTTCTTTGAAACGGAATACTGCTATACTTAATACAAAATAATGAAAATTTACTGTTCACAACGACTCATTAAAAGCATCATCGAATAATGCGCTGTAATAAAATCCTGTTATCGATTATTAAAAAAATCGATAATACATGTATTTATTTTTAATATGACAACACTTCATACATAAGTATTATTGGAAATAGTATTATTTGCTTGTTCGGCTATTTTTAATTTACTTAAACTTTATTTATATGTTTAATTTACAATAATAATATATTAAGTGCTTATTATTGGAAAATATAAAAAAGACATTTAATTAGGCCGATACAAATGACAACAATGCCATCTATGAAAGCATTTTGAAAACATTGAGCCCCGTATTAGCACTGATTAAAGTGTAATTAAGTACTGGAAAATAACAAAATGAGTAAATATATGAAAATTACTTTTTCTAAACGCATTATTTCATTTTAACATGTATATATATATTTTTAAAAATGGATTAAACTATTTTGAAAACACAGTTTTGTTTTTTAAAACGTTTGCAAAACTATGAAGAATTCTATCGATACCAATCACGCCATCTATATGCAACTTTTAGCAATAATAATGGCTATTTCCTCATTGAGTGCCACTGCTTTTAACAAAAAAACTATCAGTATTATTAACAAAACAAAATTTTCAGAATGGGCTACAAAGGGAATTCTTAAAAGTAGAAATATATTATTTGATTTATATGCTCAAAAAAAATACCGTTTCGATAGTACATTCGTAAATTATGTAAAAAGATACTCAAAAACTTTTAAAAAGGTATGTAAAGTAGCAAAGTCTAATTATCTAAATAAAAAAATTAAAGAGTCCAAGGATAAGATAAGGACAGTGTGGAATATTATTAACAAAGAAACTGGCAAAGTTAAAAGTCCATATAACGATTTTACGTTAAATTATAATGATAAACTAGTAACCTCCACAAAAGAAATTGTCAATATTTTTGAAAATTTTTTCGCTAATATTCCAACTGATATTACTTCCTCTTTGGACTCTTCTCCTAGTACAGCTAAATCATTCCTTATTGATAATGTTGTTTCTTGTCCGGTTACATTTAAATTTACATTTATTGACATTGCTACAATTACTAAAACATTTAAACAATTAAATTTAAAAAATACTGAAGACCATTGGGGCATGTCTGTTAAAGTTATTAACACCGCTATAGATGTTATTGCTCCATATTTAGTAATTATTTTCAATAAATGTATTTCTGATGGTGTTTTTCCCAATTTAATGAAACATAGCAAAATAACTCCACTCTTTAAGTCAGGAGAAAAAAACTGTGGTAGGTAATTATAGGCCTATATCTATCTTACCTATTGAGTAAAGTGTTTGAAAAAATTATGCTCAATCAAATGCTGCAAAACTTTAAAGTAAATAAACTGCTTCACAGTCGACAATATGGTTTCACGGCAGGTAAATCAACTACTGATGCCGATGTAGCTCTCATTAAATATATATTTGATTCTTGGGAGAGGTCTCAGGATGCAGTCGGTATATTTTGTGATCTTTCAAAAGCATTTGATTGCGCTGAACATGAAACACTTTTGCTCAAACTTGAACATTACGGTATTAGATATGAAGCACAAAGCATGATGAAATCCTATCTAAATAATAGAATGCAAGTTGTCGAAATAAATGGTGTAAAGTCTGAGGGAACTAGTATTAAAATGGGTGTTCCTCAGGGCTCTATTTTAGGTCCTTTCTTATTTTTAGTTTACATAAATGATCTTCCTTATATGGTAGAAAAGATAGCTGACATAGTTCTGTTTGCTGATGATACTTCATTAGTATTCAAAGTCAATCGACATATTGATGATTTGGACGAAGTAAACGGTGCTCTTTCTTATGTTTTAAAATGGTTTACGGCTAATAATATGTTACTAAATGCAAATAAAACTAAATGTATCAAATTTACTCTCCCCAATGTAAGGCCGGTAGATTCAAAAATCACGTTGGACAATAAACCTATTAATTTTGTGGATGATACTGTATTTCTAGGTATCACATTAGATTCCAAGTTGCAATGGGGTGCTCATATTACTAAATTAGCGAGTCGACTTAGTTCTGCCGCTTATGCGGTAAGAAGAATTAGACAATTAACAGACGTGGCAACGGCTAAACTTGTGTACTTTAGCTATTTCCATAGCATTATGTCGTATGGTATTTTGTTATGGGGCAAAGCAGCTGATATAAATACAATATTTATTTTACAAAAGAGGGCCATTCGCTCCATTTATAGCATGGGTTCCAGGGAGTCTTTGCGAGAGTGCTTTAAGGAATCAAATATCCTCACCGTTGCTTCTCAATATATTTATGAAAATATCATGTATGCCAGGAAGAATATAGACAGTTTCAAAAGAGTTAGTGATTGCACTAATAAAAGCTTACGTAACAATAACAAACTGATTTTACCTAAATGTCGTTTGGCTAAAGTTAGTAATTCGTTTTATGGCAATTGCGTAAGGTTTTACAATAAAATACCAGAGTCTGTTATAAATCTGCCAGAAAAAGATTTAAATGTCAAATAAAAACACTTCCTTTGCAAAAAAGCTTACTATAAAATTGAAGAATTCGTTAACGATAATAATGTTTTTGTAGAAAAAATTTTAAATACATAGCACTGACAATATTATCTGATTACACTAATAATGAGTGCGTAGCGATTTCTATGTTGATTGTCGCATGCCTCTTACTTGTTACACTGTAATTATTTATATAAAAAAAACATCTATTAAAAAGAGCAACACACCAGTTTCTTGCTCATTCTTCTTGTGATGAATCTGCATTCCGAATGAGTGGTAGAATCAAAATATGACTATTCAAAAGTGCTTGTAATGAGTTTATTTGAATAAAGATTATTTCTATTTCTATTAAACTTCATAAATAATTTAAAACTGTGACGAGAGGTATGAAATTGAGCTTGATATAAACTCAATTTAATACCTCTCGTCATTGCCAACAATAGAAAGTTTACATTCCTCTACCTTTTTAGTTCGGAACCCTTCGTGTTTTGAACCGTACCATGCAAATTAATATTGTATATGAGCATACTTATCACTTACTTGTAAGGTTTCTCCCCCGTATGTATACGCCGATGATTCCACAATGTTGCGTGTCTCGCAAAACCTTTGTCGCAGACCTGTGTTATGTTTAATGTATATAAATATACTAGAAAAGTTAACTAACTAAACTAAAATTTCAAGTAACCCCCAAATATAAAAAGACAAATAAATTGTATCTAACAATACTTTCGATCTCATTTGGTTTTAAACAAAAAAAAACAGCATCAATATAGGTCCATTCATTTAGGAGTTACCAGGTACATATATATACACAGACACATAAAACTTATAACACCCCTCTTTTTACATAAGGAGTTAAAAATAAAACAACAAGTTTAAATGGGATTTAAAAACAAATGTATAACTATCACAGGCTTTTATGTGCATGAGATATAGTTTTTATTGCAGTTAAAATAGTTACTTTATTTGCTATACATATACATACAACTACCATGTCTGTTAATATACTGCATCAAACAATTATATATATAACCTTTTTATATTATTCAAAATTCACTGCAGGTTTAATGCCAATGAAGAAAACTAAAGTCTGACCATTCACAATGTACTATTTAACCAGACATTAGGCCCCTCAGCCAATGGACACTGGACACAACAAAACTACATTAATCAATGCCTTAATAACTCTACAAAAAAAAAAAGAGAAACTAATTAAACGATAACCATTTGCTATTAAATGATTTACCATTGCTGATGCAAACAATAATCAGGTATATTTTAGGAATGAAATTATAATTTAAATCTGTATCAGTCTTGAAATGTAACACATTTCTTATAGTTATTTTTTGTCCTACGAACATTCAAATCATAGACACGACTTTAAACAAATGTAGAAAGTTGAGTGAAAAATTACTTTTTTTTGCAATTACATATTGACACACACAGCACTTTGCATATTTTATATTGCAGAAAAACGGGGCCTTAGGGTGTCGATTTGCATATGTCTCTATATATCACTCTCCCTACATAGTAACCAATTAGTACTTAATGCAATAATAGAGTATTAAGGTATATTACCTCACAAACGTATGGTTTTTCTCCAGAATGCGTTCTTTCGTGGTTCTTTAGATGTGGCGATTGAGAAAATTGCATACCGCAAGTATTACATCTGCAAGGATAAATAAATAGTCTCTGATAATAATTTATTCTATAACTGAAAGATTTTTTACACTTTTTCATCTATTTACAAACAAACACCAAAAAATATTTGTTTTTTTTTGTATATCCTATCATATGTATCTTAATAATTATCATTACAATTCACCCAAATTTACATAGCTTTTTCAATTATACACTATGTGATATTCCAGCTAAAACTTTACAGTAATATACACTGTAAAGTTTTAACAGTAAGATCATAATGATGACACAAGTTAAACAATGTGATTATAATATACTGGTATATTATAACAATTGATCCCTCATCCGCTAAGGTACATGTCTATTGTCTACTCACCATATGGCTCTTCTCCTGTGTGAATTCGGGAATGATTTTTCAAATAAACAGCTTTAGCAAACGCGATACCACATATACCACATTTAAAATTCTTCTCCCCAGAGTGCAATTTCTTGTGTGACCATAATGAAGAATACCTAGAGAATGAACCGCCGCATATGTTACAATGGAATGGTTTGTCCATATTTGATTGATTTAGTTTACTTTTATTTCCACCAACAAAAATAATTCCAGAGCCATTGCAGTTTTGACATTTTGTTACAGCGGCTAAGTTCCGTTTCTTTACAGGATGGTGACCAGGTACTGTAATAAAGCATAAAATGAAATATAATATTACAATATTTGAATCCATAAATAATGTTACACCAATGCAGTAATTCTTACCACATGGGGGTACCACGTGTGGCGTGTCATCGGTAATTACATATTAATAGTTAAAATTACGTGCTTTAATACCAAAATTTAATTGTGATGTCACAAAATCTATGACTCCTGTTAGGAGTGTAAGTGGGCCAGCCCACATGCTACGCTTACACATTTTATGCTGACCAAACATGGTCGCGTCCCAAGACACCAGATAACAGTAGTATAATAATATACGTATATTTTCACAATTGTTCGTCAATTTTGCAATCAATAGGGTGTATCGAAACTTTGTTAAGAATTATTGATTGAATTTTATGCACAATAATTCTAATGATTTTTTTTATATTCTTACAAGGTTTTTGTTGCTGCTGATTGTTGAGTGGTCTGGTTATTTGCTAGGATCACTTGCCGGTTGGATACTGCTGACGCCGCTCACTTCGAACTTCACGTTGTCTTCTGATGCAACGAAAACTTGTGTAGAATTCACTGTGAAATGGATAGCAAACAATTAACAAATCCAATTAAAATCAAATCTGCTTTTTACCTCAGAGACTTAACATTACCCATGTTTACAGCTCTATATGATTCTTAAATAATGTTGTGCCTTTATTAGACATTATTAAGTAATAAATTTACCTATTAACCGAGTAAAATATGTTGTACAAACTTCGTAGCAAAACTTTAAAACTAATCATCTAAAATAAATAATGATGATACATCAAATCTATATAGCAGGTACAGTGCTACCCAGCTGTAATTTAGTCCCTGAGATTTAAATTACTGAGTTGGCATGCCTTTTTACGTAATACATATAATTTTATTTATATGTATAGTATAAATAAAATTAGTGTCCGTTTGTAATATTGAAACAACCGTTTTTTACTACATGCATATGACTATAAATACGGTACATACATAAAATTTTTTTTTTTTTAGAATTTTTCTGTCTGTCAGTTTGTTCCGGCTAACTTCTGACATGGCTGGACCGATTTTGATGGAACTTTTTTTAGCAGGTAGCTAATGTTAATAAGGAGTAACTTAGCCTACTTTTTATTTTTAGAAAAATAAACTTAAATTCCACGCGGACGAAGTCGCGGGAACAGCTAGTCTAGAATGAAACTGTATGTGTGTTAATTGATAAATTTATTATTTCTAATCTGCCTGATTTTTAAAGGAATATCTATACAAGTAAACAAAATTTAAGTATTTATTTATAATTTCAAATTAACAGCCTTTCCTTAATAAATATATGGCATTTACATCAAAATATTAATTTTAAAAAACTTATGTCTGTTTGTTTGTTCTTGCTAATCTCTGAAACGGCTGGATAGATTTTACGGATTTTTTTACTAATGTATAACACATATATAGTGTAACAAGGATTAACTTAATCTACTTCTATTTTAGAAATTTTATTTATTTTAACAAAAAAAAATGTAAATTCCATATGGATTAAGCCATGGGTAACAGCAAATTTTACTATTATTATAAACGCGAAAGTTTCTCAATATGGATAGATGTTTGTTACGCTTTCAAACAAACTACTGAATTGAGGTATAGATTTCACATGGGTGAAACTGTAGGCAGAACTAGTTTTTAATAAAAATACATGCTAATACTCTTTATTAAATATGACTGATATATATACAGATATATATACAGGCAATATATTTCTAAAGTTGTAACAGAACAATTTACATGACTTATAATTGTATTATTAAAGAAATAAATAATACATACTCTGGTTATTTCTCTGTTCTACAGTATCCTGAGCAATACAATTCTCGCATCTTATAAGTTTCGGGCCTTTCCTTTTAGGGTTGTTAGCAATGGGACCTCCACAAGTAATGCATTTCTGTACTTTATCTATTATAACTGGTTTTGCTGGAAGAAAATATTAATATACATTATGTTAACACTTAGTTACCTTTAGTTACATGTTATATTTATTCATTAGGTGGTATGATATCTAAGTCGTGAACTTAGATATCATACCACATTATATTCATTTATTAAAAATATTCTTTCAATCATATACCTAATACACCTAAAAAATTTATAACAGTATTGTCTCACAATAAGGACAAAATATTATAACCTGAATGTGAAATAGTTTTAGTTTTAGAAAATGAGAAAAAAATTACTTATTGTTGTTGTGTCAGATCATACTTTTAAAAGAAATTCGAAATTTATTTTGATTCAGCAAGTAGATTTTTAAACAAAATACAAAATTTTCATTGGTATTTAATTTGTGTAATATATAACAATAATAACCCTGGACAATTCACACAGCCATCTGGTCCCAAGCTAAGCAGAGCTGTGTTATGGTTACAACCCAACTGATAAAAAAAATATTTTTTCTAAAAATATATTTATAATATATACAGTTTTCTCTGTATATTATAAATATATTTAGAACTAAAACAATACCAATAATCATACTAATAAATACAAATGTTGGCATCATGTGACAAATTGAACTTGCAACTATTGAAATAAAGGTGTATGCTATGATATACTGCTAGATCACAAAGGTTGTTGAGTCCTCAGTTGAATTATAAAGAAGGTGTATATATTATGTCTTCTAATAAAAGTGTATTACTGTCTTGAATCTGCACATGGTGCTGCTGCTGTTGTTCATTAGGGTCGGACGAGAGTATTTGTATATGTGGAGGCATGGTCACTTCATTGTTAGCACTCACACCAGTTGTTACTACTGTTATATTGCTATCTGGAACAGAAATATAAATAAAGGGATTTAAAATAGTATATATATGTGTCAAAACTAAGAGAACTAAAGAGAAAAGAACATCACACCAACACTAAGACATTTGTAACATTTTGTAAAATTATAATAGCATAAAATTTTGTGCTAAATACCTAGTTAAAAAACTAAACTGTATGTTTGCTCTAAAAAAATTAATGTATCCAGTCCTGATTATTAGATGCATTAATTTTAATTTTAATTTATTGGCTTCTACATTATAATCTTTATGTCAAACTATTGTTGAAAACTGCATTATTTCATCAAAAATATAAGCGAACAGACAGTGGCATCAACTTTATGTAAAGAGAAAAATTATATACCCATATGAATTTTCTTTTTAATTAATAATTACTATTTACCTGTATCTTGAATATGTATCCTTTTGTGGGAATTGAGTAAACTAAGGTGGCCAAACATGAGACCACAGACATCACATTTAAAACTTATGTTTGAGATTGTGTTTTGGATTCCATTTGGAGCTATTTGCATTTGGTTCACCAGGGCGTAGTTGTAAGAGAATGGTTGTGCAATGTAACATGTTTTGTCATCACTTGTAGTTAGTTGAGCTATATTGACACTGCCCGCAACCCCTCCAGTACCACTGGTTGTACCCGTACCAATCTTGCCAATCATGTTTACATTTGTGGTATAGCAAAATGTAGGAAATTCCTGTAATTAAATAAAATCATTATGTCTCTGTATTGTCTACACAAATATTGCAATGGCCGCACACTAGCAAAATTGTTTCTTTGACAAATATATTATTTTTACACCACTGTATATTTTGATTTAAATTAATGAAACTTAAAATATATAAATACTAATAATTACATTTGTATTACTTACTAGTGTGATCTAGGAACTAAAAATAACTTTGGTATTTTGTTAAAACTTTAATTTCCCAACATAAATGTACCTGCCCCAAACTTTAGTCCATCTCAAACCATACAGAACAAAGAAATGACTATTTATTCAGTGATTACAATAGAAACCAAAAAAAAAATAGAATTTAGTATGATTATGCTTAAATCATTTAGCTTGATATTTAGTCCGAGAGATAAAACAATGTAGCAGAGAACTCAAAAAATTTTAACTACTTTGTTTATTTGTTTTGAACATAAACTTAGAGAAAATCTAAGTTTATACTATTAAATGCCCTAAAAGCAATGTAATATACAGTCCAAAAAATAATAACAAACCAATTTAGTTGGCACTTAAATATAGCTAACAAAATATTGTTAAATTAACATAACTTTGATCATAATTACGGTTTGGTACCTGTTGTTGTTGCTGATTTTGTTGAGTTTGTTGTGCATTTTTTTGCTGAACAGTCTCAATATTCTTCCCTTGTGCTTTCTGTGTTGGGTGTTCCTGGTATTGAAGGGTCGGTACCGTGCCGGCTTGCACGGCGTTGGTGGTGAACATCTTGATCACTCAACTATAATATATGGCTACTTCATTACACTTTTTTGTTCACACACTGTATGTGCATATCTGCAATATAACCCACAACAATTTGTCATTTCTAAAAGCGCGGCTAATCGTATTTAGTGTCACACACGAAAGAGAAACTACAAAACAAAGTGTGAAGGTAACGGGGAATATTTCTTATCAGTCTACTCTATTCGTAAAAAGATCGTTCGAGGAAAACGGTGTTTCCTGAATAGTCGATATATGTAAGAAAAGGATGACGGAATATATTTAGACGCGCTTCGAGTAAACGGACGCCATTGCACTCTGACAAGTGAAGAGACGCCAAGTTTACAGATTTAGAAAGAGTATTTTAAATATCTAATCATTATTTTAATTGAAGCTTACCTATATGCAATCTAAATTATGTTATAAACGAGCTTTTCTACAATATTAATGCTTTTATGGATCAAAGTATTTTATTTCTATCTCACTTTACAATTACAACATTACAATTTTCCATCTCACGACAGAAATGAAATGGCGATATTCAAAAAATAAAATGGCCGTACACTTGTTTTTTTACTTTGACATCTTTACGCTTTGGAATATCGGCGTTTTGCCGATATAAAAATATTATTAATAACGTGGCTTAAAATATTATCGTTTTATAATATTACCTATTATGTTATCTGTGATATTACTAACCGCATCTTTTGATCGACTATACTAAGTAGCTATATAAATTCTATATCTCATAGTGAAAATAGAGGGCCTGATAATACAACCTTCTAAAATAAATTTCCATGTAAATATAATGACCTCGATGATCTAGTCTAGCGGTTTAGCACACTGGTAGCGCTTTATTTTGAATGGTCGCGGGTTCGATTCTTCATACGGCACAAACATTTGTATTCATGAGTATGATTGTTTGTATCAATCTGGGTGTTTACTGTGTATGTATATTGTGTCTGCTGCCTTTGTATACGACACGTCAATAGCTGCCACCTATACTTGTAGCTGACGGTCTTTATACGACACGTCATTAGCTGTCTATATACGACACGTCAATAGCTGCATTTATACGACACTTCAATAGTTGCCTTTATTCAACCTTGCATCTACCATTTCAACCTCCTTACAACCCATATCTGCATTCAAAAGTATGCTATGTGTTTTTTCAGGATCTAGACTAATTGTGTACCAAATTTCCCTCAAATCTGTTCAGTAGTTGTGGCCTGTAAGTGAGACAGATAGACAGACAGAGTTACTTTCACAGTTAGAATATTAGTCAGGTATTTTATATAAACTAACTCAAAAAACCAATGAAAAAAGTTTCATCGTTCTAACTTCAATAATGGCGAATTTACATAAAAACTTTCATCCCCATTTTATTTTTCCCCTTAAGGGTAACTTTTTAGAAAAATTGACTGTCATATTCATTTATATTTAATCAACAGTCTCAAAAATAACATTTACATAAAAACTTTCATCCCCCGCTATTTTATTTTACCCATTTAAGGGTAACAGTTTTACTAACTTTGACTATCATCATCGCAGCCCGGAAGACGTCCACTGCTGGACATAGGCCTCCCCCAAAGATCTCCACGACGATCGGTCTGCGCTGCTCGCATCCAATGCCTTCCAGCGATCTTGACCAGATCGTCGGTCCACCTTGCTGGAGACTGTCATATTCAATTATATTTAATCAACAGCCTCAAAAAAAGTTTCAAGCTTCTAGCTTCAAAATGACGAATTTACATAAACCTTTCATCCCCTATTTTATTTTACACTCTTAAGGGTAACATTTTTACAAACTTTGATGGCCTATTTATTTATATTTAATCAACAGCCCCAAAAATACGTTTCAAGCTGCTATCTTCAACGACGAAAAAAATTATCCCCTAATTTATTTAACCCCCTTAAGGGTAAAATGTTTAAAAATTTTGTATATCATATCTATTTATATTTAATTAGCAGCCTCAGAAATAAGTTTCAAGCTTCTAGCTTCAAAAATGGATGATTCTTCCATACAATCTTTCAAACCCTTACAACCCTTTTTTCGCAATAAAAAGTAGCCTACGTCCTTTCTCTGGGTCTAGACTATATGTGTACCAAATTTCATTTAAATCGGTTCAGCGGTTTAGGCCGGAAAGCGAGACAGACAGACAGACAGAGTTACTTTCGCATTTATAATATTGGTAAGGATTAGTAAGGATAAGGATAATATTAGTATAAAATTACATTGTGAACAACTGAAAAACATATCCAGGTTGTCCAATTAATCAGCAGTGCCGTTCTTGAATGAAATTAGTCCTAAACTTCATTCAACCAAATTCATCAAGAATTTATAAGGATGGTTTCCAGTGGGAACCGCGTGGAGATCGACCTGACCAGGTACATTGTTAGCAATGAGATCATAAGTCGACATTACTAACAATCGCCCCCTAGCATGACGATTTGTTGATGGTGTATTAAACTCTTGTTTATACTGTATTAAACAACCTGGCAGCTGACTTCCTGTCCGGAAAAGTGCCAGCACTGGGGTCAATAGTTTTCAAAACATCCATAACTGATTCGAAACACATTGAACAAATATAATTACATTTTTAAATACAAAGATCGTGTAATTATTTTATTGTACATATGTAGGTATTTAATTATAATACTTGTCCTTACATTTGTTGTTTAATTATTCTTCTTGAAAGTTTTTACATTATTTTTTTCTAAAGTCCTTTTTCTAATTGGAATCGCTAACTATATTACTGCCTTAAGGGCTTAACCCATGATTATGTAATGAAAATAATTTGGGGTAATTCTGTTACATATACAAAATACTTTTTTTACGGGATATTCTCGCGGAATGCAGCAGATAATAACCGCATACGCACTTCACTGTCCAAAATTTTTCAAACAAATCGATAACATAATAAGCATTTTTCTTTCAAATGAAATAACTGATTTTTATTTCCTCTATTTGTTCTATACGAGTATCTTTGTTTTGAGAGGCCACTCTTTTTCTAATTCATTTCTAATTAAAAATTCTAAGGTTCTGTTTTACAACCGAAATTTCAAAAATTGTATTAGGAGTATGAAATCCTCGTTATGCGCTCGTCGACACTACGACTTGCCTTCGTCGGCTTTTGTAAAGTGTTTTATTACTATAGAAGGATTTTTTCTTTATTTTTTTCTATATCATGAATTATAAAGCTTAGTCTATTACACCAATTATGCATTGTTTCTTCTTTAATCATTTCAAGCAAATTATGTCTTGGTGACCAATAATTTCTTATTTCTTTTCTTTTTATATGATCTCGAAGTATTTTTAACATGTGAATCAATAGAACTGAGAGTGAACCTTTCCAGAATTCATCAGACTTTTTTGTGATTTCCCACAGAAATACCGTTTTAATATAATAACTTGATAATTTATTAAATTCTTGAGTATCCCTTAAAAGCTTCATCAACTTCACAGCATTTTTTAAAATTGTTCTTTTTACTCATTATTGCTTTCTCTTGAGATGGAAATGCCAGCCTCCATATATATTCATCATCAGTTGGTTTGGGTACAATATAATATTTCTTTATTTTATGAAACACGTTTTTTGTGAAATCAACTTTACAATTAATAGGTTTGTTTAGATTTAAATTAAATGTAAAGGTAGGAACTAAATCTATATCAATAATGTTATCATTATCGTATATACTAATAGTATTTGCGGGTCCTGATAATTTTGCCAGTATTGGAAACATTTTATTATTAACTTGTATTAGATATTTTTCACCTCGTTTAGGTAAACTACTTAGCGCTTTATCCAAAACACTTTGCATCCATGATCGAAATTTCTGGACAGACAAACGGTGTTGTCTATCACACCAGAATTTAGTTTCTGTAAATCCATTTGTTGCTGTTATTGGAATTTTAGACAATCTTCGAAACTCTGATGGCATTACAACAAAAGTGTAAGCTTCCATTTTGGATGCATTTAGTACAATATTCTTATAATTAATCGGCAATTTTAAAACTATGTTAATATCAAATTCTGTGGCATGTCCAACTCGCAATCCATCATAATAGCTGCCCAGATAGGCTATGGATGGGTTCATACTGTTGAATAGAGAGTCTTTATCTCGCATTATCTTTAATGTTTCCTTTACAGTTGCGTCAACTATCTGCCTGTTATGAGATCTTTCTTGTTTTGTAATTTTGATATGTTTACGAATAATTTCATTTAAATATGCATCCATTGTTTCCTGTCTTATTTTCTTTTATTGTTATTAATCTAAAACAAAAAGAAACACATAAGAAAATTATTCATAATAATATAATCTGTAATTACATGAAATCTTGTAGGTATATAGTATTATATATTTAGTTCTTCTCAGAAGGTACGGAATAAAGTTTTTCAACAAAGTTGTAATCAGGGAACTGATTAATTCACTTGTTTCTAAGGTGTACCCATAGTAGCAAGTAATCAGGGATATCATCCATCAATTACGTCATTCATAAAGGGTGGAAGGAATAGAATATAATAGTTAATATAATTTAAAAATTATTTTCTATTTTTCCAAATTGATTTTTGGTGAAAGCAGTTCAGTTCCATGAATAGTCTACCTGGGTTTTGACTCGATATACCTTTCACGACCAGCTCTGCATAGTCTATTGCTGAATCATTAACACATAAAGAAATAATTAAATAGGTCAGTTAATAGGAAAGCTATTCTCGTGCGTCTGTATGGTTATCTGAGGCGGCCAAACCCTGAAGAACTGTAAAGGAGGCGTTGAGTTGACGAGCGATCTGTGAGGCGAGCGGATGTTCCTGATAGAATTTACTCACATTAAAAAGATGTCATATCGTAAATGAACTTTCATTTCGTAAAGCAGCCAACCGGCAGACAGATAAGTGATTTTTGTCTACTCTGTTAGGGACCAGGCGTTAAGACATATAGATACCGTAATGGTAAGTTGTAATCGCTAATAACATTTATTACACCATCAACATTTACAAGTCTTCTTACATATACTTTGCTCGATTTCGCGGCCATAAATAATAGTTAGCGAATATGTTATCACGTCATGAAGTCTCAATAACAATGTTGGTATGCCCTTATTACTTGATAATAGACATATCATTCAACATAAATATGTATTTTTGGATCCATTACAGCGTTATATTTCTAGAATAGTTGAATGAATAAATGAACAGGTACAGGTGACCATAGTCTCGCCTATTTCAGATGCAAAACAGTTTGCTTTTATAAATCAGTTTCAATTGTAGGGTAATAGAGCAAGAGCCCACGACGGCCAGTCATTTTCAACGAGCAGAGCAAGTTATAATACTGTTACGAGCAATATGTGAAAAAATGGAGCATCTTAATAAAACGACTTTGCTATGAACTTGTATAAACCGGTGTTACCCAATATACGGTTTCAATGAGTCTGGTAGGATAAGGAACCAAGAAACCTGTCTGGCAATTTAGGAAACTCAGTTTGAGAGAAATCTCAATAAAATATATAAAGTTCAGCTTTATTAAAATGACGTAAGTTTATTTATAAAATAGTATCGTTGAGGGGGGTCCGGCGGGGGGTTGGAACCACACTAAGTGTCTGGCAATGAGCAGCGCAAGTTATAATAATGCTACGAACAATATATGAAAATATGGAGTTTCTTAAAATAACGAATTTGATATGAAATTTTTTACACCTTTGTTACCTGTTACCTGCCAAAGGAACCACGATCCAGGTTTCATGTTTGGGGATCGTTCTTACCTGTATTGGGGACACACATACAAGAACTTTCACGTTTACTAAAATGACGTATGTCTGGCCGTCGTGGGCTCTTGGGCTATAAGATTGGACAGTGAAATTACATGATAAGTGGGATGACATATCTTCCGCTATGGAAAAGCATAAGAGGTATTACGTCCGTCATATGATAACGTGATGTCCTTCGTGATATTCATATACGTATAAGCGACGATTATCACATAAAAAAAAAGTAGAAAATGTTGAATAATGTTTTTTACTATAGAAGACTGATATTTCAAATAATATCATATATCATTTGAAAGCACTTTACTAGTACCAATGTGTACAGTTGTAAATGAATTTTTATATCCGAGTTTTACATTTATAATAAAAACTTACAAAGATAGACCCCTTTCCTTATACCATCCATAGGGCATGAATGGTAATGCATGATTCTGATCTTTGAATTTTTTAAAGCCTTATTTCTCAATAACCGAAAATCATCCAGAAAATTTATATATTCTAATAGTTTACAGTTCAATTTGATAGTTTTTCATTGAAAAACGGAAATCCTTTACTTAATCAAATAGTAAGTAAACACCAGAAGAATAAGAAAATTAGCACTTACCACTTACAAATATTATTTAGTATTACAAGAAAGAAAATAACTAGCATATATTTTAATATTATACTATTTATTAATAAATAAAGAACATGCACATTGCGCAAATAGTTACTTAATGTAGATCACGCTCGAGAAATCAGCACTAAGTAAAATGTGAGCTTGCAGAAAATACGTAATCATGAAGGTAAGCCCCAAAAATAATATCTGTCTGATCCTCTGATCTATGCCAAAACGGTGGAAATCCCCGTGAATAGATTAATTTTTTTGTTTTATTTTACCTATGTACGTAATCAATACCATTATCTAAGCGCGATTACACGCATCCTCAATTCCATTGTGCATACAGTGTTTTCAGGTCTTCATTTTTAACCTAACTTTGATCTTGATTAGGGTTTAGATGAGATAAGATTTTTTTGTAAACAATAACTCAGTAAGTTAATAGGTAGAACTTCCAATAAATAAATAATTAAATAGTAATAATTGCCGCCGCCTATATGTACATGTACAGTATCACCACCTAAAGGCTTTTTGGGCTGCAGCCCAGGGCCCCGATGATACAAAGGGCCCAGTCCCTACTGAGACGATATTTAGAATATAAAAAAAATCTAGAATGTTAAAAAACCTATCATAAGGTTGTCAACCCTGAGATCCAATCAACCTATGCAAGTGCGCATCTATCGAAAGGAACGGGGAATTTCTGGTCGCTTGTTTTTAGTTGTTATTTTACTTGTTTTAGTTGAGTAATAAAATTAGGTAGCCTCCTAAGTACATTTTGCCCAGGGCCCCACAAATTCACGATCTGCCTGCGGATACCACTCATGCGTTACCATTCAGAGGACTATAATGTTATGCCTCTTATCCTGTAATTTTGCTGCCTTGAACTGAAACACAGCTTATAAAACAGGCTTTGTTTTAGTTGGCGCTGCAGTTGCAGTATGTATGTTGCTTGGCGAGTGAAATTAGTAGGCATAGACTACTTTTTATAAAGTCTACCTAGGTAAAAACGCCTACTTTAATAGTGTAAGCAAATGCAAAGCAAAAGCATTTTAATAGTGTTATAAACGATATCAACGTCTTCCCGTGGCTATTCCACTCTGGGACGTCATTGTTGTTCTAAGAGAGGACTAAAATATTTAGTGTATTTTAGTAGGAGAGCTAGAACATATTCGAATTAGTACATTTTATTCAATTGTCGGTCTGTCTAAATTTAATTCATTCAATTTCCCAGACAATTCATATAATGCCTTCTAATCCCAAGCTAAGCAGAGCCAGTATTATGGTTACTAGACAATTCATATAAATATTTCAGAACATTTTTTTCAAAACATGAAACAACCAGACATGTGCAAGAAATCGAACCCGCGACCATGGATATTAAGGCTGAAAACCGCTAGACCACAAATCGAAAAATAAATATACCTTCAGTCTCAATTGGCAATCTGGGATAAAATATAAAATAATTTTATCCCAGATTGCCAATTGAGATCCATCAATGGTTGATCCATTGATTGATAATATCTACACAAAATTTTGGGGTTAATATAAATAGAATAGAATAGAAAATCATATATTCAAATAAATTTAACTTATCTAATCTAGTAACGTTAACGTATCTAATATAACTTATCTAACTTAACATCTTTGAATAGTCATAACAAAATTTTTTTTCTATCTACCGCCCCTTCGGAATGCTGTCCCATCACAAGAAGAACGAGCAAGAAACTTGTGTTGGTCTTTTAAGCACTCCTTGTAAGTTTACATTTACAAGTCGAAACGTGTGAGTACAAACTACCAACTAACACTAATTTATTAGGCTCAAATATAAATCTTCTTATATATAAAATTCTCGTGTCACAATGTTAGTTACCATACTCCTCTGAAACGGCTTGACCGATTTTTATGAAATTTTTAATATGCATATTCAGTAGGTCTGAGAATCAGCTCCTATCTATTTTTAATACCCCTAAGTGATAAGGGTTGTCCACCCCTAATACTATTTTTTTATTATAAGGCAATTTTTTTATGTTTTTATTATGTGTCATTAAAAAATACATACAACCCTAAATTTTCACCCTTCTATCACCAACCCCTATTTTTTATAGCGTTTTAAATTTATATGGCAAAACAACAATTTGCCGGGACAGCTAGTATACAATAAGATTAAATCAGTCGTAATGATAAGAGCAGACCAGTCCCTACAAGCAGCACTCGTTCACGAGTATGACGAATGAGCCAGCCATCACTGCGCTCGAAATAGGGTACTTACGCATCTTAACTAGATGTATCTGCTTGTTCTGATGTAGTTGATATTGATTTAGATTCATCATGTGATATACTTTGAAACCTTTGAAGGGCTTCTTGTAGACTCTTGAAATTAACAACTTGTATTTCATCATCAGGTTGACTTTCTTGATTTTGCATATTTTGTTCTGTTATAAAAATAATGAGGCATAAGCATAGGTACTAAATATCCTCTGAAAGGGCTGGACTAATTTCACTCACAGACAACTAATGTTATAAGGAAAAACTTAACCTACTTTTATTGTAGTAAATGTTATTTATGTTAATAAATAAAAATCAGACCAGACATATAAAAAATCATAATATTAATTTATATTTAGTAATATGTAATATAAAGTAAGTAATATAAAGACACTGCCTGTGTCAGTGTCCCAAATAAAATTGCATGTTTATTCTTATCTTCATAACTTTCAATATATTTATCCAAAATTACTTACTGTAAATTACAAAATATATATAATTTATACACCAAAATCAATAAGTGTTTATTTTGATATGAATTTATGTAGACACTCACTAAACTCACTAAACATTGCTGACTTTTTTAGAAGTGTTTTAGGAACACACAGACATCCCAGTCCCACTATAAATCATCTTATAAAATTAGTTTATTCTTATGTATAAATTTCATCAAAATCCATTCAGTACTTTTGCATGAATGAGTAAGAAACATCATTTATTCTCAAGAACAATCCAATATTCATCCATTCAATTAGTTTCACATTCCAATATATATAAATTTTAGAAATCTTGTGTCAAAGGATTCATGTAGTCATAAGTATCCTGATGATACACATGCAAGTAATCTTGATTTAATCTACATTTTCTTGTGATTTAAACAAGCACTGAAGTATGCTTGTTTTAATATTACAGATAATAAAAAAATCATTAATTAGCTACTCGCCCCAGCTTCGCCCGTATGTACATGTATTATATATATAAACCTTCCTTTAGAATCACTATATCTATTATAAAAATTGTTGTAAAATCCATTGAGTATTTTTAAAGATTTAAGCATACATAGGGACAGAAAGCAACAGCCTCTTTATTTTATACTATGTATAGAATGATGATGAATATAATAGTAATTTTAGAACTGGTCAAATCACAAATGTGACCAGTTGGAGAAGGATGAAATAGTTAAAAATGATTATTTTGTGGTTAAACTATTAATAAGCTATATGGCTAGTATAGTAGTCAATTAAAGTGTTCTTTCATTGATGAAAGATCCCAAAAGTGGAAAAATACATGGGTTGACATGGTGATGGTTACTGGTGACAACAATTGAATCATCTGTATTAAACAAATCACCAACTTCATAATTAGTGTTGTCTTTAATTTTATAATATAGACTTACCTGCCCCCTCTTTTGAACTAACATAAGCATGCTCCATGCTGAGATATTTCTGTGTCTTACACACATATTTCAAATTTTTCTCAGATAATTTATCAAAAATTGGATCACAACTTTCTGCCATTGGATTGTCTTCAAAAAACATATAAGTACCTAACGGTTGTTCAAATTTACCTAAAACAAAAAAGTGAATGATGAGAATTCACCAATGGAAGTAGACAAATCTCATAAATCCAAGACATATTTGTAAATAACATCATTGTATAAATAAGGTTCAATTTTATTTATGACTAGCTGTACCTGCGACTTTGTCCATGTAAAATAGTGACTTTGATCAAATAATGCAAAAATATTGAATAATCTAACCCAATAAATAAAAATATTTCTGCATTCTTGCTTCAAAAATGAGGAATTTCCATACAGAATTACGTACAACTCAATCAACCTCTAAAAAATAAGTTTCTAGCTTCTAGTTTCAAAAAATGATGAAATTTTATAAAATAACTACTTAATTTTATCCCTTACCCTTCACATTTATTTATACTTAATCTTAATAATTTAATAATGATTCTTCGATACAACTTTTCATCCCCTCTTTCAACCCCTTTTTGGCATTAAAAAGTAGCCTATGTCCTTTCTCGGGGCCTAGATAATCGGTGTACCAAATTTCATTTAAATCAGTTCAGTAATATTGACATGAAAACGAGACAGACAAACAGACAGTTACTTTCGCATTTATTATATTAGTAAGGATTAGTAGGGTTAAGGATTCTATATTACATATTATACTATTCATATACAATATACATATTTGTAATTAGACATTTGTTAATTAGGAATATATATATATATATATATAAATGTCAACAACTAGAGTCCAGTGCACTTACTAAAAATGAAAAAAAAAATGAAATGTAATCCTACCAGTAAAAAATGTTTCATCCATTTGAATAATGGGATTTCTTTGATTGATTCCTAAAACATGAATGCTTCTATATTTGTCAATATTAACACTATCTCCAAATTCAGCAAAAACTAAAATCTCTTCTTCAGAATTCGAATCTGTTTCGTTATCCATTTGTGGAAGTGAAAAGACGTTGATCTTTTTCTGTTTGTTATTTTTATCAGATTATTTTCTGTCAGAATAGATTAATACTATTAATTACTGTTTTGTTTTGAAATTTGTATTGAATCTCATTTTGTGGTTAATTCACAGATTACTTAATTCATACGGCAATGTTTGTTTTGTTCCATGGTATTGTAGATTAGAGTAGAGTCATAGAGTCAGTATACGTACTATGAATAAAGCGTAAAGCGAACAAGATGCATTATACGGGTAATACAGTATGAGAGAATGAGAACAATATAATTGTCAGCAGTTGATCTCGGCTGGCTCTTTTACAAAATTTTAATTTTATTATCTGTTATTATCCCTTGACTTGCCCTTGACCAATCATCTCAGTGTCTTCGTATTGAGTCTTCGCTTTGCAAGTTCGCACTGTTAGATCCTAGGAATTAACGTGTTTCTGTATCATTTATTTTCGATAGTGATTATATTTATGATGTCTTATTTATTTGTACATCAATGTAACTTTCGTTTTTGAAAGTTTAAAAAGTTTGAAAGTTGCGCCGGTTATAGAAAAGTTGCGAGGTAACAGATTGAGCTGGTATGGGCATGTTATGCGGAGGAACGAGGACCATGTCTTATGGAAAGTGTATAATATGAATGTGGATGGTTGTAAAGGGAGGGGACGCCCTAAGAAAAGATGGATGGATTGTGTGAAAGATGATATGAATAAAAGAGTATGTTCACATATGACGACCGATAGAGAGCAAAGAGAATGACATACTGCGCCGACCCCAAATAATGGGATAAAGGCAAGGCAATGATGATCACTGTAACTTTCGAGAATCTGAGATGTTCTTAGGTTAATAAATGTTCCTAATGTTTCTTTAAGTTTGGTGTTTATACTGATTTGCATTTTGCTGTTGAGAGCGAGACAAACACATAGTTACCATACGACCTCTATGGTGTGATATCGTAAATTAAGTTTTTCTGATCTGTGGTATGAAATATCTGTATTCTTGGCTCTGTACTTATATTACATACTTTGTCGACTTCAAGATTCTACAAATTTATTGAAATTTCTGTAATTAATAGAATCTAAAATCTACATCCAGTACGATCTGTGGAATCAGTAATTAGAAATTAAACATGTCTGATTGGGATACAGTTACAATTCTTCGTAAAAAACCACCTAAAGCATCTGCACTGAAGACTGAACAGGCTGTAAATGCTGCACGCCGTCAAGGTTTACCAGTAGAAACTCAACAAAAATATGGAGCTGGTACCAACAAACAGCATGTTACTACTAAAAACACAGCTAAACTTGATAGAGAGACTGAAGAATTGCGTCATGAAAAGGTATCACTTGATTTGGGAAAATTAATAATGCAGGGACGGCAAGCTAAAGGCATGAGTCAGAAGGATTTGGCTACAAGAATCTGCGAGAAACCACAAATAGTAAATGATTATGAAGCCGGTCGCGGCATACCAAATAATATTGTTCTCGGCAAAATCGAAAGAGCAATTGGTATAAAACTTCGTGGAAAAGAAAGAGGCCAACCACTACAGCCTCCTGGAGGAAAGAAATAACGGATTCCCTGGGAGGCGAAGACCATACTCCGATTTGTTTATTGCATAATAATTTCATCTTCTCATTTTGCTATTGAATGATAATGGACAATGTTTTTGTATTATGGTTATCATGGTAAAAATGACGTAAGCATATAATTTCCGGTCTGGAATATTCTGTTTGATGTGTTACCACCTCGGAAAATGTGGAGATATTCAGACTAGATAACTTTGGATGTGATATGCAATAAAGATATTTTATTTCAGTTAAACAATGTTTTTGTGCAGTTTAAGTACTTTTTTTCGTCTAAAATTGCTATAATGTACTACAAAATTATATACATTTATACATTTGACATAAGTAAAAACAGTAGAACGAAAATAAATTTGTATTTTTATGGAAATTAGACTAGAAAATGAAATTTGAAAAAAAAACCAGGCGTTAATACAAAATTGAAATGAAAAGCTTTTTATTTGCTGTTCTTGAACTATCCAAATATATATTCTATCAGTTTATATATAGATAATAATATGATACATATCTAGAAAACAGTAAAATAAATTATTATTAAACCAATTTCATAATTACTTTAACTTTTAGGGTAAATTAAATAATTATTCTTTAAAAAGGAAATATGTAATTCCTTTTATGTTGAAAATTTCTTTAATTTCTGCAGTGCATTCTGAACGCAGTTTCAACACTCCCGTTGTTTAAAATATTACGTTATTGGAGAATCAATTAAGCCCATATAACTGATATAATACTTATGAATGAGCTCTCATTTTATTTTGTTCGAACGGAATCTAATAATGTGAGTCAGACTTCGCCGTATGAAGCAAAAAGGTTTACGGTTGGCAACATTGTTTTCAATCCTTATGTTTTAATTTTTATGTTATGTATTCAATTCATTATAAAAATGTATTCGACTGAAGGACTTGTATTCATGGTTATGAATAAAGCATTATTAAAAAAAAAACAAAGCACGACTTAATAAAAAAAAAATTCAAGGCGCAGAAATTTGCGTCATTCTGCGGCAGAATGACGTATGGTCATCATTCCTCGTAGTCAGTTGATAAGTTTGAAATGACAAAATTAATGCAGAAAAAAAACTACGAAACCGAGTGTCAAACAGTGTATATAAATAACTTTGAATTAATTAATAGATTTATTTTTGTACTTACTTTATTGTTAGTATAAATAAGTAACATCTATTTTGTTTATAGTGTAACTTTTTATTCACTGTGATCAACGTCATGTCTTTTTCATTTGGTTCCAATACTACTACACAAAGTACTGCATTTGGTTCAGCCGCTAAACGTAAGTTTTTAATTTAAGTACGTCAAATTATTGGTTAATGATATCAGGACAATACTTAAGAATTCGTGAGGTACAACTGTCTTTAACTTTATTATGTTATTTGGCATTAATGAGAATTTCTCAAAGTGGGTAAAGTATGGAGGTTAATGTAGCAGATTGAATCTGAGTGTAGTCGCTAGGCCTCACTACTAAGTATTGTATACACCCCATATAAATACTGTAACTTTCCACATCCACAGCTTCTCTGCCGACATAAGTCTCCTCTAGAGGTTTCGATAATTTCCTGTACTTGTCTTTTTTCTCCAGTGGGATCAATTATTTCCATTAAATTGTCTTGATATGGGCTTTTGGTAAACATACAATTCAGTTAACCATTGCCTGTTTATTTTTATGTACTTATTATTTTTCTATTTTTAAATCAAGTTGTTGTCTTTAATAAACCCGTTTTACATCTCAATTCTATACTGTTTTTTCAAGTGTTTGAAACTCTTCTATTTATTTACTACTATTTATTACTACTTCTCTATTTATTTGCTCCTTGTAGTCCTTGTAGTCCCTTATTTGATATTATATGCTCCAAGTATATATATATATATATATATATATATATATATAAACACCTCTTTGGGCACTTTGTTGATCACGCCACAACCTAAACACTTGCCGATTCCACCTTTTGCACTGAATAACTTGACTCCTATCGCGTATATCTCAGGCGGTATGGCAACGTCGCATTCTATTTTGCGATGCGGCCATATATATTCGTCGATAGTACGATATACTCGACACTTTTTTTACTAATAATTCGTGACTGAATGGCTCCGAAAGGCTTTTTTTTTGGTATACACAAAGACTTTTTGGCTCTGAATATATTCCAAAAATCAATTAATTATGTTGATCACTTTATATACTCGTCCTTACTGCGATACTTACTTTCATCCGAATATATATAGATACCGTAACGGTCTATCAATTATGACTTTATTAATTTACTAATGTAGATATTTTATATTCGCAATGCTCCATACATGCAAGCTCCAGCAACGGTGGAGGCAGGGTCCCCCCTGCACCGTACACCGCACCCCGCGCACACAAACAAATTAGATATTTTTTGAATACACAAAGACTTTTTGGCTCTGTATATATATTTCAAAAATCAGTTAATTGTGTTGATCACTTTATATACTGGTCCTTACTGCGATACTTATTTTAATCCGAATATATATAGATACCGTAACGGTCTATCAATTATGAATTTACTAATCTAGATATTTTATATTCGCAATGCTCCATACATGCAAGCTCCAGCAACGGTGGAGGCAAGGGGGAGCACCGTACACCGCACCCCGCGCACATAAACAAATTAGAATAAATTAAATTCATAAGATTATTTATATATTTCGACTGCCTCGGTGGTCACACCGCTTTACATCCGATGGTCGCGGGTTCGATTTCTCGCACGATGCAAACATTTGTACTCATCGGTCATCGATTGTTTTCATCGGTCTGGGTGTTTTATATGTATATTATATATGTACTTACAAAATAAAAATATCTATTTATATCAGTTCAGTATCAGTCTGTGTTAATTGTCCAGGGTTATTTATTATATTTTTATAAACGGTTATCTTTTTCCATCGCACCGCTCGCTATCGACAGTGAATTCATAGAAATGTCACTCTAAAAACAAAAATAGTTTTGTGTTTTGTATTTCAAATACTAAATGCAAAATAGGTATTTTCAAACTACTTTTTAAAAATTAAGTACCTTTTGAATTTTTGTCCAAACCTCAGATATTTTATTTATTTTAGGTATATCAATCATTACATAGTAATATAAAAACAAAGTCGCTGTCGCATCTAACAGTACATAAACAAAGAAAGAAGACTTTGGCTCTGATACCGTAACGGCCTATGAATTATGAATTTATTATACCTAATCTAGATATTTTATATTCGCAATGCTACGTACATTGTAATATCCGCCTCCATTCATTGTCACGGTGGAGGGACTAAATAGTTGAATAAAACTGAATAAGCAGTTGCTCCACTCTATAGGTACTGCGTCGTCGTCGTATGCTGTTCATTTTTTCACTCGTTTTGGCGCCAAGAGAGGGTCACATAGTCGTGGTCAAGTTAAGAACTTATAATTTAATTTTGATAACAATAGATACAAGTAAAAAGTAGGTATTATATTAATGTACGTAAGTACTGTACTTAAAAATATTTATTCTTTACTGTATGTACATTTGAAAAACTTAACACTTAAGGACTTGTACATATACACGTACATACTGCCATTTTCTCTTAAAGACATCCAGAGAAGCACTATTTATCAAATACGCGGGGTGCACCGACCTTTGACCTTATAACATCTGATTCGCGCGTAACGAATTACATTGCTACTTTTTGGTATTTTATAGTGGATATGTCACTATAATATATTATTATTTCTTTAGATTATGACATAATAACATAGTTTACATGATTTTAAGGGAAACATACGATAAAAAAATCCCGTAAAATGTAAAAGATAAAAAATGGTTATTGTTGGTTATCCTTAAGAGATAGACATATACCATCACGGACTTTTTTGTTGACCTTATTTTGATACATCTCAAAGCACTAGACAACACGCATTTTCATTAAACAGTATTGTATTTTTTTATTTCTTTAACTTTAATGCACAAAAAAATTTGTACATGTGGCGGACTTAATATTTTGCCGCGTTATTTACCAGGCAACCATGAGTGGTGCAGCGAAAGATTATTGGCGGTGCACTAATATAAATAAGAAATGTCAAAAAAAGATTTATAAAGATAATAAAGATAAGCAAAATATACATTTCTATAAAAAAATAACAATATACATACATAAATATATATCTAAATATAACCCATAAATGTATAAATATTATATATAAGTAAATACATAATGATCCGATAATCAAATTATAAGTACAGTCTCAAATTGAAAGTAAGAAAATCAGAAAATATAGAGAGAACTATATGGATATAACAGAAAGATGTGAAAAAAGGAGAAGGACAGTAAAAAAGTTACAAATTTAAATAATGTTCCCGCAATTTCTGTTTAAATGAATTTATTACATTATTATATATATTAGGCATACGACTAGCCTTATGACTGTTACTTTTTTTTTAATCTATACATCTATACATGTAAATAAAATTGGAGTGTCTGTTTGTAATATTGAAATAACCGTTTTTTACTACTTGCATATGAATATAAATACGGTACATACACCAAAATAACATATTTTACAAGTTTTGTCTGTCTGTCTGTCTGTTTGTTCCGGCTAATCTCTGAAATAGCTGGACCGATTTTGACGGGACTTTTTTTGGCAAGTAGCTGATGTAATAAGGAGTAACTTACGCTACTGTTATTTTAGAAAAATAAAATAAAATTTCACGCGGACGAAGTCGCTGGGGCCAGCTAGTCTATAGATATACCGAGATTTAATGTTTAAGTTGCTATTATGTTGTTGACAAAATTTTACTGTAATGTTACTATTACGTTATCCTACACAATTTGTATTATTTTGGATGAATAAATAAATAAATAAATAAATAATAATCTATACATCTATACATTTAATAAAAATTGGAGTGTCTGTTTGTAATATTGAAAAAACCGTTTTTTACTACATGCATATGAATATATATAAGGTACATATACCAAAATAACTATTTTTATAATTTTAGTCTGTCTGTCTGTCGGTCTGTTTGTTCCGGCTAATCTCTGAAATGGCTGGACCGATTTTGACGGTACTTTTTTTGGCAGATAGCTGATTTATAAGGAGTAACTTAGGCTACTTTTATTTTAGAAAAATAAATTTAATTCCACGCGGACGAAGTCGCGGGGACAGCTTGTTTTTAATAAAAACTGTTTATTTGATAAAAAAACATCTTTTTTGTGGTACTTGAGAATGTTGAAGCCTGTTGTTTGTAATATTGAAATAACCGTTTTTTACTACTTGCATATGAATATAAATACGGTACATACACCAAAATAACATATTTTACAATTTTTGTCTGTCTGTCTGTTTGTTCCGGCTAATCTCTGAAATGGCTGGACCGATTTTGACGGGACTTTTTTTGGCAGGTAGCTGATGTAATAAGGAGTAACTTAGGCTACTTTTATTTTAGAAAAATAAAGTTAAAAACCACGTGGACGAAGTCGCGGGAACAGCTAATGTATAATATATTAGAGATACCTACGTGTTTTTTTATTGATGACTAGCTGTACACGGGATTTCGTCCGTGTTGAATTTAACTTTATTTTTCTAAAATATAAGAAGTTAAATTCCACGCGGACGAAGTCGCGTGTACAGCTAGTTGTCGGTTGTAGCGATTTAGCTAGCACACTGCTTTGATTCCTGCTTGGTGGTCGAGGGTTCGATTCCTCGCACGCTGCAAACATTTGTATTCATGAGTATGATTGTTTGTAACGGTCTGGGTGTTTTCTATGTATAGATAATATATATGTATTTACGAAAAAAAATCTTTGTATTTATATCAGTACCCATAACATAATCTTCAGCTAGCTTAACTTGGGTCTAGATGAAGCTGTGTGAATTGTCCTGAGATTACTATTATTACTATAATAAATCTTTTCAAATCAGCCGATGTTTATTTTTGCCATAATACGTGCTGTTACCATGTGATAATATTACGTACGTACTTATTAAACTATTAACTTATTATTAAATTGTTTGTAACGGTCTGGGTGTTTTCTATGTATAGATAATATATATGTATTTACGAAAAAAATCTTTGTATTTATATCAGTACCCATAACATAATCTTCAGCTAGCTTAACTTGGGTCTAGATGAAGCTGTATGAATTGTCCTGAGATTACTATTATTATTAATTGGTACACAGGTAAACTACTAACTAGGCCATATTGGTGTTGTTTGTTATGGTGAAAAAACTAGTAGGTATATATATAAGTTACACGTACAATTTCAAAGACTTATTTCTTGAAAACTACTGGCTATTCTGAAATAAAACTTTAGTGTTTGTATATGTAATGTTTGCATATAAAATATGATTAAAGGTTACCAGTGTATTTACACTTTTACTGAACAAACAGAGTTGTTTAATACTGAAAATATTGTGTGGAAGGCATCAATTACTTTCAGTGCATGTATAGCTTTTCTCTTTTCCTAATTATTATTATTATTAAGTTTAAAGTGGTTGAATTTTACGTAAGGGGTTTTTATACATTATTTCTAATGTACCATTTATTTTAAGTTTTTTAAACTCTATTCATCGAGACCTATCTAATGAGTCCAAACACGATATTTCTGCTGTAAGTTTTCGAAGAGTATGTTCATCATCTGATAATACTGGTGCCAGCATGAAGTCAAGGTTAACAGATAACTAATTACTTTTATTTCGTCAAAATCTTTAGATTACGTATAATAAATTCATAATATCGCTACCTATTCAAATCAAAACAAGTATTAGATACTTCATGTACTAGTATATAAATTCATCAACACACAAGTAAATGATTTTTAAATATATTCAGAGCCAAAAAATCTTTGTGCATTTAAAAAAAATGCCGATACGGATTCACTATTGCAGGAAATTGTTGAAAAAATATATATCGAGTATAAGTATCTACTACTATCGACGAATACATTTGGCAACAACGCATGGTCTCGGCCGGAACGGCAACATCGCATATTAGAATACAAAGATAGTGATAGAAAGAGAGAGACAGTGGATCAGCAATATCTACGGATCGTGGCTGGATCAACTAAGTGTGCAAGTGTATATAAATATATATATATATATACATTTGTCTTTAATTCAAAGGAAATATAAATAATGAACGCATCACATTTAAAACAGTATAAATAGTTAATAATTTAATAATAAGTTAATAGTTTAATAAGTACGTACGTAATATTATCACATGGTAACAGCACGTATTATGGCAAAAATAAACATCGGCTGATTTGAAAAGATTTATTATAGTAATAATAGTAATCTCAGGACAATTCACACAGCTTCATCTAGACCCAAGTTAAGCTAGCTGAAGATTATGTTATGGGTACTGATATAAATACAAAGATTTTTTTTCGTAAATACATATATATTATCTATACATAGAAAACACCCAGACCGTTACAAACAATCATACTCATGAATACAAATGTTTGCAGCGTGCGAGGAATCGAACCCTCGACCACCAAGCAGGAATCAAAGCAGTGTGCTAGCTAAATCGCTAGACTACCGACAACTAGCTGTACACGCGACTTCGTCCGCGTGGAATTTAACTTCTTATATTTTAGAAAAATAAAGTTAAATTCAACACGGACGAAATCCCGTGTACAGCTAGTCATCAATAAAAAAACACGTAGGTATCTCTAATATATTATACATTAGCTGTTCCCGCGACTTCGTCCACGTGGTTTTTAACTTTATTTTTCTAAAATAAAAGTAGCCTAAGTTACTCCTTATTACATCAGCTACCTGCCAAAAAAAGTCCCGTCAAAATCGGTCCAGCCATTTCAGAGATTAGCCGGAACAAACAGACAGACAGACAAAAATTGTAAAATATGTTATTTTGGTGTATGTACCGTATTTATATTCATATGCAAGTAGTAAAAAACGGTTATTTCAATATTACAAACAACAGGCTTCAACATTCTCAAGTACCACAAAAAAGATGTTTTTATTAAAAACAAGGTGTTCCCGAGACTTCGTCCGCGTGGAATTTAACTTTATTTTTCTAAAATAAAAGTAACCTAAGTTACTCCTTATAAATCAGCTACCTGCCAAAAAAAAGTACCGTCAAAATCGGTCCAGCCATTTCAGAGATTAGCCGGAACAAACAGACAGACAGACAGACAGACTAAAATTATAAAAATAGTTATTTTGGTATATGTACCTTATATATATTCATATGCATGTAGTAAAAAACGGTTTTTTCAATATTACAAACAGACACTCCAATTTTTATTAAATGTATAGATGTATAGATTATTATTTATTTATTTATTTATTTATTCATCCAAAATAATACAAATTGTGTAGGATAACGTAATAGTAACATTACAGTAAAATTTTGTCAATAACATAATAGCAACTTAAACATTAAATCTCGGTATATCTATAGACTAGCTGGCCCCAGCGACTTCGTCCGCGTGAAATTTTATTTTATTTTTCTAAAATAACAGTAGCGTAAGTTACTCCTTATTACATCAGCTACTTGCCAAAAAAAGTCCCGTCAAAACCGGTCCAGCTATTTCAGAGATTAGCCGGAACAAACAGACAGACAGACAGACTGTACTATGCTATACTATGTATTGATTGATATACCTAAAATAAATATAATATCTGAGGTTTGAACAAAAACTCAAAGGGTAATTTATTTTGAAAAAGTATTTTGAAAATACCTATTTTGCTTTTAGTGTTATAGTACTTTAACTGTTATGTTTTAAGTAACAATGTTTAATTATAATTAATACTACTGCACCAACACTCCGATCGTGCAAAAAAATTTGCTGTTTCATTATTTTTTAGTTCAATTAGTGGTCTACCTAAGTTCTGGGCTAAGGGGGGGGAGAGTCATGACGCCCCCATGACTCCCATGACCTCCATGACGCTCCCCCCTGGATCCGCCGTTGCGTCTTCTCTTTATTCGCTCAGTAATGTTGTTACAAAAGAAAAGATTCCCATCCAAAAAATAACAAGTATTGAGGTTTGATCTGGAGTCACGTTACTCCAGACTGATTTCTATAAATATTTAGATTAGGTAGACTATTATTTTTGAAATACTAGCTAGACATTATTAAGTTACTGTAGCCATAATGTAGTAGCCCAAACGTGCCAATGAGGAAGCCCTTGGCAAATGCTGCACCCTGATTGGCCCGTTTGAATTGGATCAAGAACTGCTCGTATGCCAAAAAGGTGGATTTGTATAAAATCGTGTATAAATCGCTTAATTATTATTATTACTCGTCGTGACAGTTGTGGCTCAAAACGGATCAACATTTATATATGGTCATCTGGCATTAGATCAACAAAAGGCCTCCGGATCAACAAGTGAAAAAGGATCAACAAAAAACTACCTATACGGCACGTCTGAGCCACAAAGTGCCCAAGGGGATATTTTATATATATATATATATATATATATATATATATATTCATTGACATATTCAATATCTTAACAGTTTACTGATATAAAAAAATATATAATTAAATACTGAACAAAATAAATAATATAAAACACATGTAAAAATATGAAGACTTAATATGAATAAAGTAATAAAATGATAACTCCTCAACAATCATCTCTTTAGGACAGAACTCGTGCTTGCCACTATGCATTAATATTGTCATAATATTGCCAACCATTAACTTTGTCTCTAAATTATTATTAGTCTCTAAAATAATATTTCAAACCTTTTACTCTGTTATAGTTCATATTCCGTGCATTACAACTACATTCTCAAGTCACCTGCCACACTTCATCCATTCACTTACATCAAAATCTTAAAAAGTTACCAAATTTAAAACCACACTATCTCTCAGGCTGTTAGAAAGCATAGTTTGGTTACTAACTCTAAATAATGATACTGAAAATATTCTTAACTGCTAATATTTAATTTTCATAGGTGTAAAGTACATTGTTTCTTACATGTTACACACATTACACAAATTACACACCATACACATTACACACATGGACTGGACATCCAGTAGCTATAAAGTACCTGATACACCTTTAATATATTTTTATATTAATTGCATGTACTTATATCGACAATGGTAGTCTTTGTAGTAATATTTGTAAGTAATAATGTAGTAAGTATAAGTAAATTAAATTAAAAAAAAAATCACTTGCAGTAATACCATACATTAACATGTTGGATGGCAAGCTTTAATTTTTATAATGCTTCTGGTATCCCTCTAGCCTCACATATATGAGGACGAGGTATTTTTGTAATAAATACTAGGAACACAATTCTAATATATATTTTGTATAGATATTACTTACTTTACTTTTACATATTTAAAAAAAAAAGCATACTAAATAAAAGTGTTGTCTTAACTGTGGTAGATAAATAGTTATAATTTACCCTATTTATTTTAGTAAGAACAATTGCTGCATAATATTCTTGAGGAATTAACTGATCAATCTAGTTTTCCAGAAAGAAATATAATATATATGTTTTTTTCTGGAAACTAGATTTTTAAAAACACTGGATATGACTGTGTATTCACAACTGTTTACATTGTGACCTTTTATACTCAATTACATTTAATCTGTATAATTTATTATTTCAGCCTCCTTCTCATTTGGGGGTACCAATACAGCAACCACAAGTACAGCTGGATTTGGTGGATTTGGAACCTCTACAACATCTTCTGGATTTGGAACATTTGGGGCACCAACTAGTACAGGTAATTTTTGTAATGAATAATAATTGAATGAATAGCTATAGTAAGCTGGTGGGATTCCATTAGAGGATAGAATGAGTAGTTACTACATCATCATGGATTTCATTGTGATAGATTCTCCAGAATCTATCACAAGGGAATTCTTAAGTTAAAATCCTTAATGGGAAAGTTTAAACATAATGGTATCCAGGACCACATGGATGTCAACCTAAAATTTTGCACTCCCTGTGTAGTTTTTTATACTATTGTACATTACATGCACATGGCTGACCCTAAAAAACATCAATATGTATCATTATTTTCATAAAATAAAGACTTATAAATCTGTTACTAATGTGTCAAATACCTTATGTAGTTTGATTTATAATAGAATCTCTTCTTCATTTATCTCAGTGAATAAAGAAAGATCTGAATTTTTTTTCTATGTCATGGAATGGCAAAAGAGCTGACAGCTCATACTTGTAATAATTAACCAATGCCTATAGACATGAATACTACTGTGCATATCATGTCCGTCATGTGTTACCGGCAATATCTCTAATGTATTGCCATTTCAGAGACTGTGATAATACTCTTATCCTGTAATATCACTGCTTAATATGATCCCTACATACAGGTTATAAAACAAGCTTCCTTGGCAGCTGAAATAGGTGATACTGTGGCACCCAATCAGACTACATTTCACATTACAGTTCAAAATGATTCTTTAGACAGTTATTGTTATGCACAAAGTTATTGTTATATATAATTATATTTATTTTACAGCTACACCTTTTGGTGGGCTAGGAGCAACTCCAGCTTCAACAGCACCTAGTTTGTTTGGGGGTGCTGGATTTGGAACTACTGCTGCTAAGCCAGGTATATATAATATAATATAAATAATAACATATAATATAAGTCTGAATATTTAATTTTACATTAATGTTTATTATGCTGATACATACATGTTATGAATATGAAGCAATTAAACCATAACAGAAGTTAAATTTTGAAGTAGCATGTTAGTATTACATCTTTAGTTTTTATTTGAATTTTATTCTTATATTCGAAAAAAACTAAACGAGTCATACTGGTTGATCTCACTGTACCATGGGGGTACAAATATACCGAAAGACCATGCAATAAAATATTACGGACTAATTAAGGAAAAATGACTGTTTCATTTATAAATGGTCGAAGTGGGAGCGAGAAGTTTCGACTTATGCTTCATTTTGATGGTAAGATATAGGGGAAGATAATAAAAAAAAATATAGTTGAAAGTGTACATCATTTGACACATTTTGTCCAGCAACCTATGTGCGATTTTTAAATCTACATATTACTTAACATAAAAATATAAAATAAATAAGAGATTAGGGTATATATTACTTAGTATGTATTTTAGACTATTATCATTAAACATAATGTCTAATACTTTTAGGTTTTGGTACCAGTACTTTTGGTACAAATACATTTGGTACTGGTTCGACTTTTGGTACTGGTACATCTACATTTGGTAGTGCTGCTCCAAGTTTTGGTACCAATACTCTTGGTTCCAACACATTTGGTGGGTCAACTTTTGGTACTGGATCTACATTTGGGTCAACATTTGGTGCCAAACCGGCGACAACTGGATTTAGTGGTTTTGGAACTGGTCTTGGAGCTAGCACAGCATTTGGACAACAACAGCAAGTATGTTTAATAATAATAAGTTTAGATTATTGTCTAAAGGAATAGAAATAATCTTTATTCAAATTAACATAATATAAGTACATTGTCTTTATGTAGAGTACAGTATAGAGAGAATACTGCTCTTCTTGGAATCATTTATATTTTGAAATTCATCGAATTCTTAATGACCAAACCATTGGAAAAGTCAGATATTTATTCAATTACATAAAAATATAATATTAGGACATCTTTGCTAAACTTTAGCTTTTTTAATTTCGACAGCAATTACAACAGCAGCAACAGGGCCCGACGACTGCACATGAAGCCTTAGTGGCTGCTGTCTTTAACTGCTCCGTGTTTGGTGATGAGAGAGATCAGGTGCTTGCTAAGTGGAATTTACTCCAAGCTCAATGGGGGACTGGTGAGATGGATATAGTTTAGTCTAGATTCTACAGTTCAGAATGAAAATTTCTACATAAAGTGCAGTAAAACTGAAATATTAAGTTCCTTTAATTATATTAAATTTAATTTAGAATATCATTAAAAAAAATTACTTTTCAGCCGCATATGTTTAGGCAATGTATTCTATATAATTAGAAATGACACTTTTATAAATATAGAAGAAAAGAATAGTACATTATTTTCTCGATGTGTGTCGCATATACATTTTTTAATAACGGAACGAGTTCTAGTACCTTCTCCGCTCATAATGTGTTAATATAATATATGGTATGTATTTGTTTGAATGTGCTTATAATCATCTTAATTTATTATTATAGGTCAAGCTTATTACAGTCGAAATGCACCCGCATTAGAGTTGAATGAGCAAAATCCATTATGCCGTTTCAAAGCAGTTGGCTACTCTAGACTTGGTGGACGAGAGGACAAGGATGGCCATGTAGCGATGTTGTTTAATAAACCTGAACAGGATATTAAGTATGTATATTATTAAGTACCAAGTTACTAGTTGACTAGGTATTGAACAATTCCCTGATACTCTGCTGTGTACACTAATAATTAGTAATATAATTCTTTTTCCAGAAATAATCAACAAGCATTAACAAATTCCCTGTCAAATTTATTGGGAAATAAACCAAATTTGGTTGTTAATATTGATGCTGTAAAGGCTGTCTCAGAATCAAAAACTCAGGTGATACATTAGTTAGGTTAATTAGAGTATAAAAAGTGTTCACGTTTGGAATCTTTTTCTCTATTGTCTACTTATTTGAAATGCTTTTACTCAACTGAACGGAGGTCAGATTATAATTAAAATATTATGGTTTTCAGGTGGTGGTATACGTAGTGGATAAGAACGCGAGCGGGTGCCGTGTGGGTGCGTCGGAGCTGGGCGCGTTTCTGGGAGCGGGCGCGGCGCGGGCGGCTCTCACGGGCGCCGGGTGCTCCGCCATCGCGCCCGCCACTACTCCCTCTCCCGCCGTGCGAGCACACACACCTGCAGGCGCCACCGCCAGGTACGTCTCGCGTGTGTTCTCCAGTCTCGCGCTCGCCATCACGTCCTCGGCCTCCCCCGCCGCGCGCACGCTATACCCGTATATACCCGCAGGCGCGGGGCGGAAGAGCCCGCGCGAGACGTACCTGTTGGTGGCACCAGGTGCGTCTTCCGCCCTTTCTCAGTACATAAGTTACGACCGCACAGGCTCACGCTAGTGTCGTTTCGAAGAAATTCCTAGCAAATACTTTTATACTTAATAATAATTTAGTATATAAAATATAATATCTTTTTGTATGAATTTTGTTTATGTAGGGCGGTGGTTATCCTTATCACTGTAGCGTTATATATGTGTGTGATGAGGTGGCGCTACACAATGTATTATTTATTGTAGTATGTAGTTAGTGGGTATATCGGTAAAATGCGGACTGTTTTATACTTAACTTAAATCTATGTTAGTGGAAACGTAAACTAATGGAAGGGTCTCAAGTGTCGACAGAAATATAACAAGTGTAGGCACATTTACAATATTCTATTTATATTGTCTGTCCAACACTCGTTGCACTACCTTTGCCTGTTAATTTCCATCTAAATCACATACTTAGGTTGGCTGGAAGAGTTCTTTCTGAGATAAGCCTACCCTTGCTCACATTATTTCTAATATTCATGCCATTTTAAGTTACAAGTGCAATAAAGATTATAATAAAATTTATATAATTCGGAATCTTTACGATTGGTCAGTATGTACAAATATTGTTAATTAACCAAATATAATTATTAAATATATTGAATTGAATAGTATGCAGATTTTCCTCCTGGTGTATACATTTTATTTGCTATTAATAGGTATGGATATGCGGTTATGGAAGCAGGCACAAGCGGACAATCCTGATCCTGAAAATTATATCCCTGTTCCGATAGTCGGATTTTCAGAGGTAATTTCAAACAGTATGCTTTCTATGTATAGTTGTTCAACAGATCGCATGTGTAAAATAAGGATGGTGCTTGTTAGGCAAATTATAGGTACAACGTTTGATTGTATACTGTCTCGTTTATTGTAATAATCAATCCTTATATACTATTTACTTACTAAGTACATTATTCATGTTTACAGTAAAACTAAATCCCATCAAAAACATAAATGTGAAATAATAGCCGAGTTTAATATTATGATATATGCCTTGATTGTTGACTTCTACGACAAAAGAGGTGAGATCTAAATGGGTGCCAAGTTCAATGGTCTGTCCTGAAATGTATTTATAACAATATAAAATATCATTTCTTATAACTTAGGATAATATACTGTAGCCTAAGGTCTGACTTGGCCAGTTCTCATATACCAATTATTACTTTCGATTGCTAGTTACTACTAATAATAAAATAGGAACCGACAAGTAACATGTTTAGAACTTGCGAAGGCTACAGTATATTTCGTATATGAAAACTAGCCAAGTTAGACCTTAGGCTACAGTATATTATCCTAAGTTATAAGAAGAAACGATATTATATATTGTTATAAATACATTTCAGGACAGACCATTGAACTTGTCACCCATTTAGATCTCACCTCTTTTGTCGTAGAAGTCAACAATCAAGGCATATATCATAATATTAAACTCGGCTATCATTTCACATTTATGTTTTTGATGGGATATCATTACTTTTTGTACATAAATTATACGAGGTACTTATTTATAACTAAATTAATACCAAATTATTTTTGATAAGCTAGTGTATTTTTGTATGTTTACGGGGTATAATTGTCTTTTTTTGTGTTATTTTCTATATTTTCTTGAAACTTTTAAATGTTTGAGTATCGAAGTGCGCTAAATATTGAAACAATAATTAATACCAAATCTCAGTTAATAACATAATAAATACGAAATTCGACTATACTCTTAGTTATAAGTACGAGTATATTTTAGACAGAATCTGAATTATAGCAACTAGTGTTTACCGCTCAATGCAATATTTGAAGTTTGCTAGTTATCGACACTGATGTGAAGGGGTCAACGTAAATTGGTAATGATCGACGTTTTCATACAATATTACTTTCCGTCCAGAACAAAGTGAGATATTTTCGCCAGGGATCAATGTCAATTGGTGGCTATCGACGTTTTCATAGAATTTTAGTATTCGTCCAGTATAAGTTGAAATAGAATCAATTAAAGTGAAAAATTATAGTAAAATGATAACAATTTACCAGTTTCAGATTTTTTCCTTTATATTCACCTAATTACCTATCTGCATCCCAAATTTGAACTTCCTAGGTCATCTGGAAGTGGGTTATAATTTTGATCTATAGTTGATCAGTGATAAAAATGACGATTTTTGGACATTAATATCTAAATAACCGTTTGAGATATGTTTATGAAATTTGGAACACATATTTATCTCGCAAGTCTCAATATATGAACCAAATTTGACAGGTTTGTGTGAAAGAGTTTTTGAGTTATGAGGGGGTCAAAAGTGGCTCCAAATGGTTCGTGTAAATACACAGGGTGCTGCTCGCCATTTCTCTTACTTGAAACTCAGCTTGACACGCTACCGCGTGTCTAGATATGGTTTTAATTATTGCCTTGGACTTGTTACACAAATAGGTATAGTAGTTTGGTATGAACAGATAATTGAAGACGTTTTCATTGGGGCTGCATACCAAATCTCCATATTTTCTGTAAACGTGATACGAAATCATTGTCGCGAATGCAAACTAATATCATATTTTTTTATATTACATTAATGTTCTGCTTAATATGTAAAGTTATGAGCTGTCTGTAGCACATGTTTAACATTTTACGTATTTAGAAAATTAATAAAATACTTTATACGATTTGTTTAGTATCTATTTGTCTTTATAGATTAAGTTTCGTGCACGCTGCCAGTCAGAAGAAGCGAAGCTCCAGGCTAGCTGGCTGCGTCGCACCGCCGATACGCTCGCAGAACTGCGCACACGTCGTGCGGCTTCCGGAGCTCGTCTTGCGCATATGACTGCTCGTTTGCACGCTCTGCGTCACACGCTACTTCAGGTATGTCCATACATCTCGCTTTGGACACATGATCGTTCATCTGTATCTCTTTTCGGTCTGGGTGTTTTCTATATATTACTGCATATAATAAAAAATGTATGTCTAAGTATAGGTATATCAATTGTCTAGTCTCCATAACCCAAGCTGTGCTTAGCTTAACCTTAGCGTTCTGTGAATTTTTCTGAGATATTATTGTTATTATTATTCAGCCCATTTGTTAATTTTTTCAAGGCGGGGTAAAAAGTAAAAAATGCGGCCCCCTAAGACCTGCCTGCTCTGCCCTGCCCTCTCCCTCCGGCCAACATTTTTACAATATATATACATATTAATTTGTCCAATTTTTGCTGTTAATTATTGTAGTATTTTCAAATATACACACAATGAACACAAACAATATATTTGACTTCTCAGTGATTAAGATGTCAAAGATGTGTTAATGTATTTGTATTAATTTTCCAAGTTCGAATTTGCCGCAAGGGGCTTGGGTTTCGTGACCGGGGGGGGCCCAATTACCATTATCAATACAAGCAATTACCTTGTAATATTAAATATGTTACACCGATTGAATAATCCCCTCCTGTCATAGTTGGTCACAATTTAATAGGTAAATTTCGTGGTTTAGTCCTAAAATTTACTATTTCTATTATATGTATACTGAAAACGCGTGTTAAGATGTGTGTGGTGGTGTGCCAGGTTATCTCGCGACAGGAGGTGACGGGCCGTGTGGGCGCCGCCTTAGCGCCGGAGGAGGAAGCTGCGCGCGCTCGGTTTCACGAACTCGCCTCGCAGCTCTCCGCGCCGCCGCTATATAACGTACGTAACATCATATACATCTGTAAACACAGTGGTGGACTAAGGCTAAAGAGAGCCCGAGGCAACATTGTAATGCCGCGCCGGGTATTATTAATCAACGATTCGTTATAATTTTTATATGTTTCAGCAATACTTAGGAAACCATGTTTTTCTGTGAAATAAAAATGAAAATTGAACCAATATTGCCCCAAAAATTACGGGCACGTGCCTTAGTTTGCCCCCGCGTATATATAACTTAACCAACCAGATGCCCCGCTTTGAACGAGACTGACCTCTTTTCTAATTATCAGTCCTAATGTCCCCGAAATGAACTTAGGGACGCAAAATTGACAGTTTTTCGGAAAGAATAGAATAGAAAATCATTTATTTAAATAAACTTACATTGAAGCACTTTTGTATAGTCATCACATTTTTTTTCAATCTACCGCTCATTCGGAAAGCTGTCTCTTCACAAGAAGTGTGTCAATACAAACTACCAACTAGCATTAATTCAATTAATTACTCAAATAGAGAATATATTAAATACTATCTGTACCCGCGACTTCCTCTGCGTGGAATTTAACTTTATTCTTAAATAAAAGTAGCCTAAGTTACTCCTTATTACATCAGGTACCTGCCAAAGAAAGTCCCGTCAAAATCGGTCCAGCCATTTCAGAGATTAGCCGGAACAAACAGACAGATAGATAAAAATTGTAAAAAATGAGTAAAAAACTGTTATTTCAATATTACAAACAGACACTCCAATTTTATTTATATGTATAGATTCAATCAACTGGTTGAGTAAATACATAAGATTAAATCAGTATATATGTATAGTATGACAGATGAACCAGCCATCACTGCGCTGGATCTTATTTTAGGGAGCCCTATGACCCGGCTCACCACGCCGTCACATGTCTGGAGATTTTAGGGAACTTGACTGTTCAAGACACTTGACGACGTCATAAACTACTTAAAATTGTCATCTGATAGTTATAGTATTGACATTATACATTTATTTCTCATAATTAAATATAAAATAAATATATAACGTAGTTATGCAAATAAACACATTATTGACTGGATATGTTGACATATATGAATTCGTCTATCCTATAATAAGCATTCTTATACAAATATTGTTTAATAAAAGATTTGAATTATAAAATTTGAATTGCCGATAATTATTAGCAAATTTTCGCCCGAAAAAATTTGAGTTTTCGAGCCGATCGCCAAGAATTTCATACTTAAAATTTTCATCAGATGTATTAAAGCTAATTTGTTATTCCGATAAATATTTATATATAACTAGATATAACTAAATGACCTGACCTGACCTACCTGAAGATTAAACTCTAATCTAGACACGCGGTAGCGTGTCAAGCCGAGTTTCAAGTAAACTGGCAAGCAGTATGATAATATTTTTTTAGATAATTATTTCTTCAAATTAGTTGTGGAGTAAAAGAAATGTCTATTGAAAGGTTTGTTATATATCTAAAATAAATTTTCAATTTTAACCAGTTTCTGAGATTAGCACGTTCAACCAAACTTATCAGCTGTCTATATTGATATAGATTTACATATATGTATATTGCTAATAGTTTGCAACGAATTCACGCATTCGCCTCTAGTGGATCACTGTAGGACAATTCATATCTTACGTCGCGATTACAGCCGACCTTGTCTGCTGAATGTTTCGTAACACACGTCCTGCGCGTGCTGGCTTATCTGCGGATTATCCGGTTTATCTCCAGACATCAGACATGTAAAGGTGCTATGGTGGTAGTACCTGATAGCAAGTACTGATCGTATCAACGATTGCGGATAGTTCGCTATGGCATTGTAAGTATTATTTAGAAAAATTCAATAGGTCTTTTATGGGTATAAGTATAAAAATTTACAATAAGATACCGAAAGACATACAGGAATTACTCTTAAATAAATTGAAAACATCTGTTAAATAATATCCCATCAAAAACATAAATGTGAAATGATAGCCGAGTTTAATATTATGATATATGCCTCGATTGTTGACTTCTACGACAAAAGAGGTGAGATCTAAATGAGTGCCAAGTTCAATGGTCAGTTCTGAAATGTATTTATAACAATATAAAATATCATTTCTTCTTATAACTTAGGATAATATACTGTAGCCAAGGTCTGACTTGGCCAGTTCTCATATACCAATTATTACTTTCGATTGCTAGTTACTACTAATAATAAAATAGGAACAGACAAGTAACATGTTTAGAACGTGCAAAGGCTACAGTATATTTCGTATATGAAAACTAGCCAAGTTAGACCTTAGGCTACAGTATATTATCCTAAGTTATAAGAAGAAATGATATTTTATATTGTTATAAATACATTTCAGGACAGACTATTGAACTTGGCACCCATTTAGATCTCACCTCTTTTGTCGTAGAAGTCAACAATCAAGGCATATATCATAATATTAAACTCGGCTACCATTCAAATTTATGTTTTTGATGGGACATCATATTATTTTTGCACATAAATTATACGAGGTACTTATTTATAACTAAATTAATACCAAATTCTTTTTGATAAACTACTGTATTTTCGTATGTTTACGGGGTATAATTGTCTTTTTTTGTGTTATTTTCTTGTAACTTTTAAATGTTTGAGTATCGATGTACGCTAAATATTGAAACAGTAATTAATACCAAATCTCAGTTAATAACATAATAAATACGAAATTCGACTATACTCTTAGTTATAAGTACGAGTATATTTTAGACAGAATCTAAATTATAGCAACTAGTGTTTACCGCTCAATGCAATATTTGAAGTTTGCTAGTTATCGACACTGATGTGAAGGGGTTAACGTAAATTGGTAATGATCGACGCTTTCATACAATATTACTTTCCGTCCAGTACAAGATGAGCTGTTTTTGCCAGGGATCAATGTTAATTGGTGGCTATCGACGTTTTCATAGAATTTTAGTAATTGTCCAATATAAGTTGAAATAGAATCAATTAAAGTGAAAAATTATAATAAAATTATAACAATTTACCAGTTTCAGATTTTTTCCTTTATATTCACCTAATTACCTATCTGCATGCCAAATTTGAACTTCCTAGGTCATCTGGAAGTGGGTTATAATTTTGATCTATAGTTGATCAGTGATAAAAATGATAATATTTGGACGTTAATATCTAAATAACCGTTTGAGATATGTTTATGAAATTTGGAACACATATTTATCTCGCAAGTCTCAATATATGAACCAAATTTAACAGGTTTATGTGAAAGAGTTTTTGAGTTATGAGGGGGTCAAAAGTGGCTCCAAATGGTTCGTGTAAATATACACACGGTGCTGCTCGCCAGTTCTCTTACTTGAAACTCGGCTTGACACGCTACCGCGTGTCTAGATTTTCTGATCAAATTACTAAACGATTACTTGAATGACGAGAGTGCATGGCAATAGTTGTTCATGCACGGGATTTTCATTTAATGTTAGACATAAATACCTATATAACTAGACATTGTAAATAAACTAGTTAACAAAAAGGTAATTCAATTGAGTTTCGGTGGAAGAGAGTCGTTGTTTTGTTTTCTCTTAAATTGTTTATACCACACGACTCCAACTTTTCCTCTATCTGCTTGATATATGTATAATGCGTATTGGTCTTATGTTAATATTATAAATACTAATGTCAAACTCTTGGTCAATATTTTCGTGATTTTGCTCACAATAAAATTATTAATATCATTCACATTAATGAAAATGAAACAAATACATTCAAAGATCCTTATATCTCGTAAACAAATTGCTAGACTCAATTTAAACTACTAAATAACGAGGAAAGAATTGCTGTTTTCTTTGTTATGGATAAATTAAAGGAATCCTTAAATTACTTAACCAATTTTAAATATCATTTCCTATAGTCAGCTACATTATTCCCGAGTAATATAGCTAGCTAACTATCATGCGAGCAGTGCCGATGGATACAACCAGTCTTCAATATTTCTTGTTTCGTTCTCTTCTGTAATTTGTCTCATGTATGCGTGCTCGGAAGGCTCATTATTTCAGCTGCGTATATTTATAAATAGCTAGATAGCTTTAATCATAATACCACACTTAAATGATATTGATATCTTTAAGACCTACCTGTCTGAGTGTCCAGATAGCAGTGTTTCAGATGTTTGATTGCATTCGCGATAAGACATTATTGCGTCGATTACAACTGGCTATAGAATAGCTATAGTACGCTTTTACAAGGTTAAAGAATGTACACTACTACAGACACCCGCGACTTCGTCTAATTTTAATAACATACAAGTATGACGTATGTACGGTCTTGTATCTATCTTTGGCAAATTTAAGATTAGTTCAAAAAAGTAGTCGTGAAAAGGTAACAGACATATAGATGCATAATAGTATTTATGTTAGTATATATACATGTTTATAAGCAGACTGCATGGCTAAGCACTCGAAAGTGATTGATTTGTAGAGGTGGATTATATTTGATATAAACCTCTTGTTGGATTATAATAAATTATATATTCTTAGAGTCCTTTTAGTTCTGATATGTTGTAGACTATATAGTCCACAAAATCATCATACTCGCATAATGTACATAAATATGTGGACTGTAAGCTGAGAAGAGTTATGAAATAGAATTATCGAGTTTTTTGTCATATCTAAATGTTTTTTCGGCATTTTGTGGCATTTCACTGGTTTTTTATGCTATGATATTGTGTTTGTTTGTTTTCTGGGATAACATAAGATGAAGACGTAATACCTAAAAAGCTCTACTTTTATTTTCTTACAGTATTTATATGTTTATATACCGTATCGTTTTCTATTGTAATTACCTACTTCTGTTAAACTATTCTAATGCTGTTAGCCGTAGCTGAATAAGGGCCAGTGTAGATGGAACTCCAAACCCGCGGAATGACTTATGATATAGCTGACTGCAGGATGCTTAATAGATTTAGTTTGTGGTCATTGTTAAGCCAACTTCGGCTAGTCCGCCGCAGTTTCGTAAATATA